CTTGGAAATGAGAAAGCTGGCAACAAAGTGGATCCCTAAACTCTTGACAACCGAACAAAAGAGGAAACATGTGGAGTCATTGGTGGCTGTTTTGGAACATTTTGCAAGTAATGAGTCAGATTTCCTGGGCAAACTGAGACATGGATCTACTGTTATGATCCTGAGACAAAGGAACAATCTAAGGAATGGAGGCACAGTGGTTTCCCCAGGCCAAAAGAAGTTCTGTGTGCAAAGGTCGGTGCAGAAGCAAACGGCAACAGTTTTTTGGGATAAAAAGGGAGTTCTGCTGGTGGACTACCTCCAACAGGGTTCAACCATCAATGCAAAATATTACTGCGCTTTATTGATGAAGTTGAGGCAAAACATCAAGGAAAAGCTCTCCAAAGACGTCATCCTGTTGCATGACAATGCCTCGTCACACACTGCAGGTGAAACAATGGCAAAACTGCCATCCTTAGGCTTTCAAGTGATGCCCCATCCACCCTGTTCTCCTGACCTGGCTCCTTCTGACTATCATCTGTTCCTCAAACTCAAAAAACACCTAAAGGGACAATGATTTGGGAGTGTTCTGGAGGCAACTAATGCTGCAAATGAGTGGTTACACCAGAAGTCGCAAGAATTTTATTTGCAGGGACTTAAGAAGCTGCAGAACAGATGTTGCAAGTGCATTGACGTCCTGGGGGAATATGTAGAATAGTGTGGCAGTTACAGCTTCCTGGCTCATTTTTTTCTGGGAAAGGCTCAATACCTATCAGCACCCCCTTGTATAGCATCTGATTTTCCTTTTGTCTCTGAGCATATTGGCCACTAGATATCTTTCCCACTTTAATTTAGCTGCTTTGTTAGCAATAGTGCAGTTTGCTTTTGTTTTTTGCTCTTTTCTAGTAGCTGAAGTGAGAGTCTCACCATCCAGCACTATCTCTTGTTTCATTTTGGATTGGTTTTCAAAGTAATATTCAGAATGGTTTACCCCTGCCACCTTCTGTGGAGTACTAAGAAAAAGTAACTTGAGCATCGCAGTGCTCACCTTCCATCACTTCTGCTGCTCAAAAGCTGTTCTCCAGGAATTTATGTATCCCATCACCATTGGAACTATCAATTCTCCTTTGCTAAAAGGACTGTAAATCCTGAAGAAGTCAATACATCTTAGTCTGATGTCTCATCTCTGACCATTCTGCCTAGGATGACTGCTAGGAGTCCAGACTTGTAACAGAGTCTGAGCTCCTGATGACATTGCTCTCAGTTTCCACAACACATTCATATCTTCACACATGTTAAAGTGTGCTTTCAGGAGAAAGATGAAAATATTTCTTTTATTGAAACTTTGCTAACATGGAATCCGTCTCAGCTGCTTCAGAAAGGAACAAACTGAATTAAATATGTCCATCAAATATCCTGATAGAATTGGGAGATATAAGAGAAATATCTGGAGACATATTTGGCAGAAGAACGAAGGAGTGGAACTACTAAAAACCTGCTTATACTGTCAAGATGTTTATAGATCATAGATGTAGATTTTGCAGTTTGTGTTCATGTGGTCAATGAGATGTGGTGGAAGATTGAGATTGATACGAAGCTTCAAATGGTGCAGAATGCAGTGACCAGACTTCTCACTGTGGTGAGAAAATAATCAGCATATTTCCCACACTCTGGCTGCCTTGCATTGGCTGCCCATTCATTTCCGCATTGATTTCAGAGTGTTAATGATGACATATAAAGACCTAAACAGTTTAGGACCTCGATATCTATCAGAATGCCTCTTCCCACCTAGGTCCACCCGGA